GTGTGTGTGTACAAGTAACACTAAGTTTAATTAAACAAGAAATTTTGAAGTAGAAACGCTAAAATAGTATTTTAGTATACTATTTTTTTATTTTCATATAATATATATATATATATGACTTCGCTAAATTTTACAATCACTGGACACTTGATAAGGACTATTATAATCATTTTATAGAGATATAGATACTTACAATGAACAATATCTAGCCAATGCAATATTTCACACTAGAAAAATGTATATTAAATGTCAAATATCTATATACAATATATACTTTACTATAATTTAGACTATATTTGAAAACAAATCTCTAGGACTAGAAAATTTACATTTTCCAAAAACTGTTTTTATAGTTATACTACTATTATTAACTTGACACAATGTTTTAAAGCTTTGTGTATGGCTGAAGCAGTGGTGCTTTAAAGCATGAATTTAACGTTGTAACTTTTCTCACAAGGTTTTACAGTCTCACAAGATTTTACTAAGAGCTAAAGCACAGCATGTTATCAGCATGCTTCATGCACATTCATGAGGTAAACAAGTGTCGGGCGGGTAGGTGTGTTTGTTTACTCGAGCGCTTGCCAACCTGCTGCTGGTTCTCTCTCTGAAGGTGTATTCTGGCTTGGATGTATCCTCTGGTCTCCTTGAAGGCCTGTCTCTGAGACACCTCTGCTGGGTAGTGTGTGCAGATGCCAATGATGTTGGTGCACAGGAAAATCATCGCATTGGCACATAACTGCACAGAGAAAAAGAGAAGAGGAATAAAATGAGGAATTTTGGATGTGAGGTGAGAAAAAGTTAGACTATTTTTGTTTGCAATCCAAGGTCGAGATCACCACGGGTCTCACTTTGCTTTAAAGGTGGGCGCAAACATGATTTTTGAGCCGAATTTTGGACGAAATTTATAGACTTGGCTCATGATTATTATCCAGGCCATTTTAGTTAAATTAAAGTTGTACCTTCATAACACATGGTTTACTGAGTGGCATATTAATTGACTATGGTCTGGAGAAATCAAAATAAATATTTTTTAATAAATTGAATAAAAAAATGTAATAGTACAACATAAAATATTTTAATATTTAACAACATTTTAATATTTTTTTATATTTCTTTTAAATATTTAAGAATATTTTTAGATTTCGATGGGACTTGATTTTTGTGTATGTTAAACACACACACACAATATATCAATTATATACATACAAATATTGATGATAAATAAACATGCCTATGCTCTGCACATCTGTTTGGGGGAAAAAAAGACAGACTCAGTCAGCCAATAATAAATCTTTTCCAGTTCAGAGGGAAACCAAGAAAGACTGATGTCTTTCTAATTTAACCATGTCTGGCTACATATCATGAACATTTTTGGCTTTATTTAATGGCAAAAAGGTGACTCGTGTCCTAAATGTCCTCACTCATTCGCTTTAATCCACTTGATCTATGAGCATCTATCAAGAATAAACACAGGACATACAGACCACAATGAAACAGCCATGAACTTCACAGAGTTGGGGTGAGGTACTGAGGGCTGTCTTACCGTAGTACTTACTGCCTGTATTACAGCATTCAAGCTAAAATCAATCATACAAAATTTCAGGGATTTATAAGAGAAGAAATTTGAACTCCAACAGAGTGTGGAAAGATTCTGTACCAAAAAGACATACTGCATGAATCAAGATGCTTCCCGACACTGAAAATAAACGCCTGGAAATCCATATCTCTGAAAAGTGAACAGTGGAAAAAGGTTTTGTCCAGAAATAAAAGTCAAAACACTTCATCCCACCGTCCTCCAGCAACAGCCAGTTTCCTGCGCGTTTATCAGGGGGAAAAAGAAATATTGATTCTTGCGAGTCAATCACTGAAGCTGCTTATCATTTTCAATCATTATTCAGCATTTCAGTGCCATCAGCAGTTGACATTTAAACAAACACAACACAAAGCACACAGAAATGGTCCACACAGCTGCAGACCAATTAATGTAATAGTATAAGGTGTTAGGCTTACTTTCTGCAGTAATATGAAAAGCATCCAGCAACCAGCTTTGTGTTTCAGGTCTTTTATCGCTACATCAGTACAAGTATCTGGGGATTAGATGGTATGCGGTCAAACCTGTGTGTTTAAGAGAACTGAAGATGCTTTGCGGTTTTACTGCAAATGGTTTCTGAGAATTGCGTAACAGGTACATTATGGACAGCATTTTTGCGCAAGGTAATCTTACAAAAACATATCCAGGTCACATGTCACAACAAATGAAAAGAAATTATATTTTGCATAAATAAAGTCAAGCCTATTTTAAGCCCATTAAGCACATTTCTCCACCATTTATTAAATTGTAATTCCTGTTGCTTGAGTTCTGCTTCATGTGGACAATGCTCCAGAGATTATGTCATGTCCTGTCTCTTCCTGGTATCCTGATATAGATATGTTATTCAGTTTACATGGTCATAACATGAGTTGAAATATTGAATATGACAGTGAACACACAAGGTCAATATGTGCTTATCACATGTAAGAGTACGCTTCTACTATCGACAACCCAAGCAAACAGTCATCATTTTCCATCAGTCAGAAACGGTTTGCCTGAGAGAATTTGTTGAGGCCCATTTCTCTGCAACAAGCGTTTTCTTCTTTGCCGAAGAGGAACGGTCTTTATTTATCCACTTGACAAGAAATGGGATGGCAGAGCTTCAAAAAAACAGCTCCACTCCCTCTTTCAAGTGCCCCTAGAGTGAATGTGCAAACATCTTCAGATTTTAGAGTTCAGGAAGAAAAGCCAGGCCCATCAGGCATCCATTTGCTCAGATGGTTTGCATAATTTCAGCATTTGCACAAGTTTTCCAAAAGGCAATTCTATTCAAGGGACTCACTAACACCAATGGTCTAAACCACCGAGCTGATTAGACATGGAAAATGTGGGGATGTGGCCACAAACACGACAGATTGCTAATTCTCCATGTGTGGCCAGAAAAAGCCTGCAACAGGGTGTGCAGAACTAGGCGAGTAACCTAACTAGTCAACTAGCAAAGTACTACTAGAATATTTGATTCCTCTTAGTTCAATCTGCCACTGAATTCCTCACCTAAACTGACATTACAACAAAATACATTGGGTGATTCTGTGGATGTGTCATAAGCTTTCAGCTTTCACGTTTAGCAATATTTCGATTCATAAAGTATATCTGATTCTCTGGCAGACTGCATTTTCTCCACAGCAGGGCCTGTTGTTAGACTGTCATCACTTGATTTTCTGGATAAGAACATGTGAAATTATAAAAATGAGATGGTCTTTAGACACAACAGTTGCATGTGTGGATTATCCTAATGGTGGCAGTTTAATTTTCTAATGGGATTCCATGTAAGCACTTGGTGAGTATTTTAATCTTGTTTTTAACTAAATGCATATTGTTCATTCATTTAAAAGAAAAATAACAAAAGAAAAGCATAGGCTGATGTTTTTGAAAACACTATCATGATGTAGCATTTGAAAATACACAATATACATTCCCTATACACTACCATTTAAAGGTTTAAAAAAAACTCAGCACAAACATTAAAAACAGCCTTTTTAATATATTACATTCTATTTTAATATATTATGAAATGTAATTTACTGCTGTGATGGCAAAACTGAATTTTCAGCATCCATTACTCCAGTTTCTGTATCACTTGATCCTTCAGAAATCATTCTAATATGCTGATTTGCTGCTCAAGAAACACTTTATTATTATTATTATTATTATTATTATTAATGCTGACAACAGTTGTGCTGCTTAACATTATGTGGAAACTGTGATACTTTTTTCAGGATTATTTGATGAATAGAAAGTTCAAAAGAACAGCATTTTTTGACCAGAAACACCATCAACAGTTAGCATTAGCATACACTGCAACAAGCCCCCGTTTTATTCATGTAACATCCAATATACAGCAGCCCCCTCAATTCATCTATATCACACTGACTGAGAGTAGATCATATCAGTACATTTAAAAAAGCGGTTGACATTTGAGCTGACAGATCTGACAGAACAAATGTCACATGCTTTTACCTCACAGCAAAACTGATTAAATGAGACTGTCAGATCACTCACTGAGCATGTGTGTGTGTGTGTGTGTGTGTACGCGTGTGTGTGAGACAATGACCCACACATGGAGCAGTCAGCCACTGTGTTAGACGACTGTGAGTTTAGAAATGTCACAGAATAAAGACACTGCTGTTTTATTTAATCCTCATAATAAAGCTGACCTGAACTGACAAGGACTGGAAAACGTAGTTTCTAAAAAGTATGGACATAAAGCCAAACTAGACTAAGCCTTTCCAAATCCTTTGTATTCATTACATTAACATATGAAACCCTTTCTTACACTCAAGTAAGAACTTTTCTGCTTGGGAGTAGGGCTGTGCAATTTGGGGGAAAATATCAAATTGCGATTTTTTTTGACTGATATTGCGATTGCAATTTGATTTGCGATTTTAAATTTGCAAAGTCAAGCTTCAGCTCAATATTGCCAATAATGTGCAGCACAGTATGGGTATCATTACCCTGCTGAAAAAAAACAATAGAATCCATCACAGAAATTCTTATAGTTTCCATTAAACCATTACAAAATTCCTTTTTGTTTTGGGCATTATTCCAATAGGAATTACTGTTGTTCTATTGGTTGCCATCTGCCATATTACATCCCACCAATACAATCCATCAAATAGACACCATTATAGTTTACATTAAAACCAATACAATTCCCATTATAACCCTGAAATCCATTACATTTTTTATTTTGTTTTGGGAGGGGTTTTTTTTTTTTTTTTTTTCAGCAGGCAAGATTATAATGGTATAACTACTTTTACAGAATTAACTTAATTACTGAATTTCACAGAAAATATTTATTTTTTATAAATAAAGAACTATTTCTTAAGTCAATTATTAAAGTATTACATATGTTACATAGGCTGATTTATTCATTTTAAGTATTTGGGATTTTAAGAACAAGTGGAAAATGTGCTGAATGTTTCATTTCATGCAAGTGAAATTAGCAAGCAGTTAGACTGAATTTACATTCGAGCATTACGAGACAGGTTGCGCGCGTGCGTCAAGCCTCATCCATACTGCCAGATGTGCATCAAAAACTTATTTCACATTAATCTGTTGGGGAGATAAAATGTGTAAAATAACGTACACGTACTAACAAAAACATCTAAGAATGTATCTTTTATTCTCCAGTACTGAAAACAGAACCGAGAAGGGAGCTTTTGATATGTGCTGTGACGCAGCTCTTGGAAATTACCTTTTTTGTTCGCTATCTGTCATTTTGAAGCTTAAGTTGCATACGTTTTTCTGTAGTTTTAATTTGCCTAACTATCGATCTGACCTGTAGACGCCATAATCCCACTCTGTCTCTCTCCCGCTTTCTGGTTTTTTTTTTCTTCTTTTTTTTAAATGGTGGGTGTTTACGCAGTTGGCTAGAGCAGTGCTGATTGGGGAGAACGGAGGTGCGCTCACTCTATTGGTTAGTAAGACTGCAACTCAAGGCTGGCAGTCATGCATATGCTCTGGAACAGAGTAATATCGCGTCCATATCGCAGGCTTTGCGATTAGGAAATCGCAACGTCTCAAATCGCGATTTCGATTCGATTTCGATTAATCGCACAGCCCTACTTGGGAGTAAGAATTTGTATACAGTACACACAATTTCTGCATTTTTCCCAAAACATACCGCTCATAGTGTTGTTGAC